AGGGGAAAAACACAAAAGATGAGTAGGCTGAGAAGGGGAGTGAGTCTGAGAAGTACAAGAACTAGACAGTAAAACTTTAGGGGCAGGGACCGTATTTTTGTTATATGTTCGATTAACCTAGTATAATGGGGCCCTGATGCATGATTTGGGTCCCTAGGCACTGCCACAATATAATGAGTGGTGTTGCTACTACTAATAAATAAATAACAGGAAGTGCTGCATCTTCTGGTTAAAAGAACAACACAAACGTGTCATCACATGTAGCTCGTGTACCAGTCAATGTGCAAATTTGCTTTTACGAGTCATATGGAATTATAAAGTGACACTGAAATTTACCAATGTCTATGTACCAGTCGTAACAAATGTATATTTCTGAACCTTTAGGAAGAGAGACAGTTTCTCAGGATATTTTCATCAGAGATTTTTTTTTTTAATCACTGAAGAAACTTCTATGTGATTAAATCATCCAGTTGGACCTATTGTAATTAGTTTGCTCTTTAATCAGGAGGAATAAAATGATAATATCATTGTTGCAATGGAAACCAGTGGAGAGACTACAGAATACTGTGCAGGATACACCTGCTTCTTGATAATAACATGTTCAACTATTGCAAACAACCACACTGATCTTCAGTGAACTGTTAACAGAGAGAGAGAAAGGCAGGACCAAGGATTCTCATTGAACAGGACTTGAGCTTTCGCTCATTAATAAGGAACCATAAATATGACCATAACAAGGACCATTACAGTTCCTTCTGGCTTGAATTCACCTTCAACAATCCCTGCTTCTCATTAAAGAAGAAACCAAATCTTCTCATTAGGGTGATGTGAAAAAAATCTCATTGCCTTCTCCACCAGCAGCACACATACACATTTCCACAGGTCCCAGGAAAGCAAAATGTTTTAGACATGATTTAAAGGACAGGGTCATCTTGTCTACAAGGCTGAGGCCAGCAATAGGCGCCAGAAAGTCCCGAATTCTAATCCCGTTGCTGACGCTGACTCTGTCCATAAATTTGGAAAAACTACTTCACTATTCTTATTCTTATTCTTATTTTTATTTGTATTGCAGTAGCATCTAGGGGCCTTAGTTATGGACTAACACCCTCTTGTGCAGGATGCTGTACAAACACAAAACAAAAAGATGTTTCCCACCTCGGTTTTGAATTTATCCTCTGTAAAATGGGAACAATAGTAGTTTGATGGTTGTGAAGATTGTCATGTTTGTAAAGTGCTATAATTCCCACCCACCCGCCCACACAACATATGGGGATTTTGTGTGAAAATCAATGGTGGTGCTTGGTGGCAGAGAAACTGTCCCAAAGCAGTTGGAATGCAAGCACCAACCTGCCCTCAGCACCTCAGCCAATCACAGAGCACCAGCTTAGTCACGGCACAGCAACAACTTGACTTAGTTGTTGGGCGTCAGGGTTGCAGGTAGTCCTGCAGGGCAGTTTAGAATTAGGGTAACCAGATGTCCCAATTTTATTGGGACAGTCCCGATTTTTGGGTCTTTTTCTTAGATAGGCTCCTATTACCCCCCACACCCTGTCCCGATTTTTCACATTTGCTGTCTGGTCACCCTAGTTTAGAATTTGAGGGTTTTAGAAGAGAGTGGTGTGAAGGGTCACTGGAGTGAACGGAGAGCTAGTCTGTTGCTTACCTGTGCCCCTTCCCACTGAAAGAGGAGCTTGTCACCTTGGAGATGTACAGGTACAAAGATCAGAGAGGGGCCTATTACAACAGCTCCTCTGCTTCATGCGGGCGTGGGGCTTCTCTCCTTTAATATTAATATTCCAGGTAGCTTGAGCCACAAAGTTTGAATCTGGATTCAGAATCCAGTTTGTCAGTGTGGATCTAGGCCTCTGGGTCGGGTCCACCTTGCGATACATCTCACATGGGGTGAAATTGACCCCTATGTGGAATGAGGCTTTGACGCTAAAGTCCCACTTCCTTTCAAGATTTACATGAGGCATAGGCCTTGCTCTGTCCCTCCGCACAGAGGTGAATGTCACCCAGGGAGATCATCAACAAGGATGGTGTATTTTTATATTATGAAGGAGCTTTTCACACATTTCTTTCTGCTTTGTTGGTCTCCACAGCCAATATTTTATTTGTTTGCTTGGCACTTTCCTGCTCTGAAATTGCTAATATTGTTGGAAAATCGAACAATAGGTTTTTTTACACAAAATGCATTGATTTTTTTTTTATTATTGTTTCAGTCTTTTCATTAAGATCAGGCTGGGTTGATTCCCACCACTGGGTTAACTCAGTTGGTTAAAAATGGAAGGATTAGGGGAGAAAAGAACAGAATTTCCTTCTATATCTGTACCCTGCTCCTGAGATCTGTTGAGGTAGCATTTCCAATTTCCTGATCAGAAAAGGATTTCATGGCTTCCTGTGCTTTTGTAAGCACCGCTTTTTTTTTTTTCTCTCTTGCACATAATCCCGTTAATGTAACGGTATAAAATCTCTCCTAATTGCTGTGCGTTGTCACACCAGCATTGAGGAGCAATTAGCCATGGCCTATTTGGTTGCAATGTTTTGCTCAGGCAACATCAAGTAACACCTGATTGGTGGGAAGTAAATAAAGTGTTGCCAGAATAAACCACTGCTCCATCTGTGCCCCCCAGTCTGATTCCATCTTCAAGACCCATCTCTGCTAGGGGCATGGGTTCTTTTCTTCTTCCTGTGTCCTGCTCCAGGCTGAGAATAGCTTTGGATGGCTGGAGGGATCCCCTTTTCATTAAAATCTATAGCTGCTGACAGACCTCAAAAGATCATGTATAAATAAGCTTTGAAATCTATGCTGTAACCATCTATAGCAGTGGTTTCCATGCTGGGATCATGCCCCCCTGACCCGCTGCTTTATTTAACAATACAGGAAGCACATATATTGTAACTCCCTGACCTCTTCTTGCACAGGAAAATGCGAGTATTGGTAACATGGGGAAATAGACCTATAACCAAGGGGAATTCATGGCAAAGGGCCTACAGCAAGAAATGGTCTTGACCTGCAAAATTTGAGAATTACCCGTACATAAAGAATGAATGAGTCGAATAAGAAGGTGGTGTGTGGAACTGTAGTTAAGAGGCCCAGGACAAATTAATCACATTGAAGCTGATGGAATTACACCTGAGATGGTGGATTTGATCGTCTTTTCTCTTTCTTTATATAAAACCAGAAATGACATTCAATTTGTTCTCCACACCTGCAGCAGGCTCCCCTCCCCCTCTGCTGAAGTCAGAAGCTGTGTGAGATTCCAGCCTGTATCTCTGTCTACCGGGCATTTAATAGCTTTAAAACTGACAGCTGATTTTAATTTGGGGGGGTCTGTATGTGTGTGTGGACTAGTGCAATAATCCAGACTATCCTGATCCTGAATTAAACTCCAGCCAGACCCATTTCCATGGAATTTTATTCATTTTACTGGATATTATTTACAGAGATATTACAAAATATATGGTGAGCTGGGTACAATAATGACAGTGTGGATTTGGCAGCCCCCGGGTCGGCTTGGTGAGATGGTGTTGGTGATGGCTTCTCAAGTGGTTAAACCATGAAGCACAGAGACAAGGGGGTGGGGGAGGTGCTGGAAACAAAGAGGGGAAAAAATCTCTCATTTTCCAGACCAGGGTCCACACTGAACCCAGGAGCATGTGTAGCTAGAGACACTTTCAGAACCTTTCAGTTTCCCTCCCAAACCCACCAAGGTCAGATTGCAAAGGCCCTTAACTCATGGTGGTGAATGGTTACTCTCAGGAGTAGTTCCTCTGAAGACAATGGGATTGTTCATGAAAGCAACTACTGCTTATCAGTGTGAGTCAGTGGCTTATGATCTTGCTTTATAGTGAAGTTATTGTCCTTTAGAGTGATGGCTGAGACTTAGAACCTAATACACAACTCTGCCTCAACGCAGAGTCGTAAGGGAAGGGGGAAGCCAGGATGGCCAATGAAAAGTAGTTTCCCTCCCTGTTTGGTTAAACCCATGCTACAGGGGCCAAATTCAGCCTGAAGGTCTAACTCTGATGACTTCACTGGAGTTATACCAGGGATGGACATGGCTCCAGCGGCCTTCTCTTTCACCTTGTCCTTGTGCCACTATATGAATGACACCATCACCCTGCAGCTAACTTTGTACAATAACTTGTAACTTGGAGATGAAAATCCCGGCAGGTGGACATGGCTTTGAATGGTGACGATGGGTACCCTTTGAATCATAGCACGCACGTACCATGCAAGACAAGGTGTCATTTATTTTTTCCTCTCTTTATTTATGGGGTTTTTTTTTGGCTTGGGCTTCTGTTCAATTCATCCTATTTTTTCATATTGACATTTGTGTTATGACACCATATGTGATACAGGTTTCCATTCTCCTCCTGCACCCACTTCCCCTGGACCCATATGTCTGTAGATATCGGATCTTGTATGATGGCAGAACCTTCTTAGCCCAGTTGGCACCTCTCTAAGGCTTTGTCTGAAGGCTTCAGCCATTTGATACTGGACTGGTCAGCTGGAGGTGATGGCAAAGCCATTGCATGGAGTTCCTGTGAGCTCTGGCTTTCTGGCTCCTATTGCAAAGCAGAAAAGATGTCGGTGTCTTTGGTGAGAATTGTATCAATGACGTTAACGTGTGCGCAACCAGCACAGTGACCAATCACTGTCCACCGCTGGCTCTGCTAATGTCCACAATTAATGCACTGGAGGTCAGTTGGCCACAGGCAGGTATCAAATGAGTGTGTCTTAGTTTTTGCTTCTGTATCTTCAAACACAGTGTGAGAGTACCTCTTAAAACTGCCCTTTGGGTTGATCTCGGAGTCCAAGGTCACCTTAAGAATAAGAGAGAGCATCCCACTTGAAGCCACCCATTACGTCCCAGCTATAAGGGTGCGTAGGTACAGCACTGTCTTAACACCATAGGCCTCCTCATGACTCCCTATTCGCCTGTGTGTGTGTGTATGTGGTGTGTGCATGGCATCATCTTGCTCTCAGGCTTTATTTAGCAATGGAGGATCTTCATGAAGGCCTTGCGGAACTCAATGTTGAAGGTGGTGTAAATAATTGGGTTGACGGCGCTGTTGACATACCCGAGCCATGTGAAGGCACTGTACATCGCCGGTGGAATGATGCAGTTGCAATGCATGTTCAGGATGTGGGTGATGAAAAAGGGGAGCCAGCATATGATGAAAACACCTGGGAAATAAGGAAAGAATCGGGTTTGATTGCACTGAGCTGTCATTTTAACCCTGGAAGATTTGTGCAGCTGCTCACAATCCAACAATTAAGCCCCTTATGGTGGTAAAAGAAAGTTGCTTCCCAAGTGTAGGTCTTGGGTCTTGCTATCATATTTTTAAAGCCGTGGCCCTTAAGTATCTAAGCACTATATGTTTTCTCAGCTGTTGTAAGTTGATTGACTTCAAAGCAGTTATGCCAGCAGAGAATCTGGCCCTCAGGGTTGTCAATCCTGTTTCTGACTTCCCTGCCATTTGGAATGTAATTGGGATGCATTGTAAATCATATGAGCCCCTTGCCAGCCATTGCCAATCAGCACCTATTATTCCCCAGAGTTGGGCAACACCCTGAGTTAGATGAGGTGGTCCTCCTATGCTGCTCTGAGAGGGAGAACCTTGGCTGGCCTTCCTACTGGTGGCATGCTACCTGGCTGCAGGGCCGGCTCCAGGGTTTTGGCCGCCCCAAGCAGGCAAAAAAAAAAAAAAGCCGCGATCGCGATCTGCGGCGACAATTCAGTGGGAGGTCCTTCGCTCCGAGCGGGAGTGAGGGACCGTCCGCCGAATTGCCGCCGAATAGCTGGACGTGCCGCCCGTCTCCAGAGTGGCCGCCCCAAGCACCTGCTTGCCAGGCCGGTGCCTGGAGCTGGTCCTGCCTGTCTGCATGGGTGTTTCCCCTAACTTATCCAGGGAAACCTGCAATAAGGCCCTCACCTTCAGTACACAACAGTATGTCTCCTGAGACCATTTTAAAGTATCCTCAGCCCGCCTCCTTTCACTTTGCATCTTTGTCCTTATTTGACACTTCCTTCTTCGCTCCATGCATTGCCCACTATGCTCCTTGTATTTCCCCACATGTTCCACCAGCAAATGCATTTTTCTCTGCCTATGTGACAAACAAAATAGTCCTCACTGGACATTCCCATTAAAAGACCAGTCCTGGGAAGCCAATGGGCCACAAAGGAGGCCAAATTGAGCTCTTACCAAGCACAATGGCTAGCATCTGGGTGGCTTTCTTTTCCTTCTGCTGCGAGAGTTTCCTCCTGCTCAGGGTCTTGAGGGAAGTCCTTGTCTTGCCGTTGGGCATGGACTGGATCTCAAAGGCCTTGGCCGTCTTTGGGTTGTCTTTGGCATGCCCATTCTTCTCCGCTTTCGTGGGGCTGTCTAAGGGCAAATCCAGGGTGGAATTGATGCACTGGTTGGAAGTGGCTGGCATAACCAATTGGTGGTTACTCAGCAGGGCTGGTTTGTGTTTGGTTTTTTCAGGGGGGCTGGTACTGGACACCATCTCCATCTCCTCCACGTGATTCACTGCCTCCTGGACAAGGATCAAAACCCCCCAACATAAAGATAGATAAATATGTAATTGGGGCAAAGGAGTGATACTGTCTTCTGTCAAGGGAGCAGGGGTACTTCTTGATGAAGAGATGAACTTCAGTTCAACTCCCCATCTCCTCCTTTGAAGAGATGGTCAGGGGAGGGGCTATAAATTGGCTGCGTGGGAGGCAGAGAGGGGAGAATGCCTTTGGGAAGGATGGGGTGATAGGACAAGATGGAAGCTCCAAACTGGGGGAGTGTTTCTGTTGGCTCATTTCTTTGCTTATGTTCCCTTATTTGTATCCCTTTTTGGTGAACATTATTCTGGAAGGAACTGGCCTTTCTGACTCTGACAATGCTTATTTGGTGGTTCTGAGTCGTTCCGCTATCTTATAGGGCTTATCAAGGGGAGAACCTACCAGCCTCCGATCTAGAGCTGGCTGAAGATTTTCTATCAGAAGGACGTTTAAATGGAAGATGGCTTTTTTCCCCCCCTAAACAGAAATATTCCTGGGAAATGTCCATTTTCAATTATCTTATTCAGGTTTTCATAACAAACCAAAAGGAATTCATGTCTCAAAATATAAAAAACACCTAGAAGGAAAATAAAAAGAACCCCAAATTGATTACTGCCTTAAAAATCATGATATTTTTAACAATCTCATGGTGTTTGGGGGAGGTGAAGGAACTGAGTCCTGGTATTTTAACTCTGGAGTTGGCGATACTGCAGTTCAAATAGCTGGCTTCCTTTGGGGAAAGGGAAGAGTGCCCTTTAAGTTTTTATGCTGCATAGGAATTCCCTTTGTTAACACAGAACTTTTCTTTCTTAGGCTAGGGGAAAAAACCCACCCTAAATTCATTCTGCACCACGCAAAGGCAAAGGGAGAAAGTGCTTGTGCTGGAGAGTTGACAGTCCTCTGTAACACTTACCACTTTCCGCTTATTAACTGGGAAACTCCCGTTGGACTTGACAATGACAGTGCAGAGCTTCACATCTTCTGGATGAGTGCATTTGTCCTAAGGGGGCAAACATCAGCACACAGGTCACACAAGCAGATGGGAATTAGGAGGGGAGCTGACAAGAGGGATGTGGCAATTTAAACACAGGGCACTGAGCAGAAACAAATAGCTGTGACTACGAAGGTAAGAAGTCTGGAAAATTACTCCGAGGAGTGAATGATGGTGGTTCCCAGGGACTCTCAGCTCTTTTCTCACCATGAGAAAGACACTTTAAGGACCTTTGTAGCTCCTCAATCCAGCCTCACCTCTCTGTCTCCATATTGCTCTGCTTGACTAGAACCTGGCTTTTGAGGGAAATGCTGAGAGACAGTTTGGAGATGGCTCCTCTCCAGTTACAAGTCCATATTAATCATTTCTCACTTCCTACTAAAATGGGAATTTGTGACAAGTGTCCTCACAGCCCACGCACACTTTGCTGGACTCTGCTAACGTGTGTGCCTCAAGGCACCATCATCCGTCGCGGGTGTGTCATGCCAGCCATGCGCCGTGCAGGACAGACACGCATGCACTGCGTGTGAAGTATCAAGAGCTGTGTTCTTACATGTGTCTGTCTGGGGCTGCCATCGCTGTAGTGCTAGAGCACATCCCAAAGGTTTTCTTGTCCGGGAGCCATGTTGAAGTTGCTAGCTAGTGGACATCCCTGCAAGAGGGCAATAGCCGTCCCTGTGGATACTACCGTAGTGGCAAGTCATCTGCACAACAATCTATTGCTCAGTACCGTAACGTGGGCAGACACCAGCTACCACCACTGCCACATTTGAAGAGAAAGGAAAGAGTCAACCAGCTCAGCCCTACATGTAAAAGGTGGCCGGGAAAGAAGGAAGTGGGAGGTTGTTGAAGTCCTTGATTGAAGTTTTGAAAACTGCATAGGGATTTTGATCATAGGACTGGAAGGGACCTCGAGGGGTCATCTAGTCCAGTCGCCTGCAGGATTAAGTATTATCTAGACCATCCCTGACAGGTGCTCATCTAACCTGCTTCTAACCTAATCTTGTATCTTCTATTAATTTTAAAACTAAATTCCCTGGGCTGCTTTGAAAGACCCAACCCTTGTTATTGTAGCCCACAGAGCTAGCTTAAAGATATTTAATTTTCTCTTACAGGATTCAGGCCTCTAGGTTTCTTGCGTTGTGCTAAATAAAATCTCTTCCAGTTAGCTCTCCGGGCTACAGTTTGAAGGAATAAATTCCAACAGGATGGTGAAAGATTGTGTCCACCACGCGGTCATGGAGCAGAGGGACCTACTCTGAGTGAAAGAATAAAAGTACCCTAGCTTCAAGCCCTTGCTGGATATCTTAAACCCAACTGAGACTCTGCAGAGCTGAAGCAAACATGGGTTGCTTGGGTGAAGCAAATCCGACCACAGACTTGCTGATGAAACATCCTTGGAGGTCAGAAAAGATCTGGGAAGCTTCCGCCAGTGTCCTGGGGTACCCCCATGTCCATCCAGGACTCCCAAAAGGCATAAGACACACTATCCATCCTCACAATCCACCGTTTCATTCAGACCAAACAGTGTCATTGGGGAGGGAATGGGGGAAGTGTCAGGAAAATAATGTGAGCAGGAAGGAAAGAAGATGGCGATTGGGAGAGGGGGATGGGGTCTGGTTACCTTCAGCGGTACCTGCGTGTCAGAGTCCAGGCCGTGGATGTTGCGCTTGGTGTTGACGCGCTTCCTGCGTTTCCGGAGCACTACGTAAATCTGTACGTATACCAGCAGGGTGACAATGAAGGGAGCGTAGAAGGAGACGATAGAGGAATACACAACAAAGGCAGGATTGGCAATGATACACTCATTCTTGGCTGGAAGACACAAGAGATTGCAGGAGCATCGTCCCAACTGTTAGGAGCTAGAACCAGCATTTCTCTCTCTCACCCTCTCACCACTGGAGCCACAAGAACATGGGAACAGCTGCTCTCCCATCTTTCTCCCGAAATAATTTCCAAACCAAGAGAGGGATTGTCACAATGAGGCATATACCCAACTCCGCCTGCAAGTCCATGGGAGCTGGGTGTCTCGGCCCCCTAGGCTCCTTTGAAAATCACAGGCCAAGCCCTAATCCAAGGGAAAACCGATTTATTTCTCACGCAAGTATAAGGTGCTGGATTGAGAGCTGGAGACTGAAATTCTCTAGCTAGCCACACGATTGCAGAGGTGCAAACTTCCCAGACCCGCTCCCCACCAAGGAGCCTCATCTCCAGCTGCAGGAATTGAGAGGGGAGTGCAGTCTCTATAGCTCTGTCAGTCCTTGGGCTCTCTTTTAAGACTGCCTAATAGCTATTATTGGAGGGGGAAGGGTTCTGCTGTGGACATCTGTCCAACAGGAACGGGGCTGAGACCAGCTCCCTTTAAATGGATCACCAAGAGGTGAGTCTAGAACTGATGCGTGATCATTTGCTACCAACCTGAGCCAAACTCAGAGCCGTGACCTGTACGTGAAAGGCTCCATCATTCCCATACCATAGACCATCCAGTTTCCCTAAAATAAAGGTGGTTGAATAGGAGTGTGTCTTATGCTGCTGTGCCAGTGGAGCTGTCTGGTTATTTGTAAGGTGCCCATCATTGTGGTAGATTTTAAGACGTAAGGGTATCTCTTCTTTTTGGGTGCTGATGCTGGCTAGTGCTATGCATGTTTCTTCTACAGAAGCCTGAGGACAAACATCAACCCTGATTGATTGGGGGATATAGGCCTGGCAGAGCAAGAGTTGCAACAGATTCAGGGCTGTTTGATTGGCAGAGGTGCGCATGCACCTAAATCTTAAAACCTAGTATTCATTATTCAGCCATGTTAATTCCTTCCCTATAACACAAAGTTCTCTGGGACCCAGTGAGGCGGAAGAGAGCATGAAACGCACACAGTAGCCAGCCGCAGATGACCGTATGCTCACCTGTGTTGTTGAGACCAAACAGAAGTGGGCAGGAGATGGCGAAGGACAGGACCCAGACCACGGAGATCATGACAGTGACTCTGCGCCTGGAGCTGTAGCGTGTGTTATAAAGCATGGGCATTGCTACTGCGGTGTACCTGCATGCCGCGTGGAGACAAAGACCCTGCATGTTATTTCGCTGCCAGTGCTGAGAGACCATCTGCGACTGGACAGTTAGTAAATCTGGAAAATTGCACCAGAGAGACCACAGGGGCAGGTTCAGCTATAGAAGATCTCCAGGAACTGAGATGTCTAAGCTGGAAGGAACCCGCTCTCTTGTCTCTGCAGCCCTTGCTTTGGAAGGTTTGAGGGTGGAGCCCATTTGATGTGGTTTTCAATGCCCCTCCTCTGAAGAGAAGACAGCGATGCTGTAGCCTAATGCACCTTCTCCAGATTATTGCTGCTCCACTGGTGTCTGCTCCATCATTTTGAAAAGTGAGCAGACGCACGTTCACTAACAAGTGATTTTGTGCAATTCACGTTCCTACCAGCCACACCGAGCTGGACAGGACCTTCCTTCTGCCCCCAGAGAGATCTCACCTGTCAATGCTGATGGCACAGAGGTTGAGGATGCTGGCAGTACACATCATAACGTCCAGGGTGACAAAGATGTCACAGTGGATCCGGCTAAATCTCCACTCACCGACCACCTTGGAGAAGAGAGAGAAAATTGGAAAAAGGCATTCGTTCAAGCAGCCAGGACGAGAGAGTCTAAGGGCCAATTCTGCTCTTAGTGTAGAGATTAATTTTGCTGGCTTCAGTGAAGTTGTGCTGGTTTAAATGAGAGCAGAATTTGGGCCATAGACGTTAGAGAGGGATTCAGGTCACATCCTGTCAATACCCCGCTGAGCCAGTGCAGGATTTTTTGCTATTTATATCTTCTAGTGCTTTGTCCTGTCTAGCTTGAAAAGTCCCAAGTGATGGCGTTTGACCAGGAGACTGAGCTGCGAACCAGTAGGATCTCATCCTTTGTAATTTCCCCTGCGATTGAGCCTGATTTTACCTCTCTTAATTCCATTCTATTGCTCTACATTCCCATTAGGCAACCCACATGACAGATACAAACCTAGGACCAAAGAAAATGCTACTTCCATTGATGTCCAATGAGTTGACTCAGTTATGCTGTGAAGGCCAAAATTATAACAGGATTTTTAAAAAAGAACTAGATAACTTCATGGAGGATAGGTCCACCAATGGCTATCAGCCAAGATGGTCAGGGACGTAACCAGAGCTGGCTCCAGGTTTTTTGCCGCCCCAAGCGCAAAAAAAAAAAAAAAAAAAGCCGTAATGCCACCCCTTGAAAAGGGCCACCCCAAGCACATGCTTGGAACGCTGATGCCTAGAGCCGGCCCTGGACGTAATGCCATGCTCTGAGTGTCCCTAGCCTCTGTTTGCCAGAAGCTGGGAGTGGATGATGGGATGGATCACTGGAAGATTGTCTGTTCTGGTCATTCCCTCTGAAGCATCTGGCACTGGCCACTGTCAGAGACAGGATACTGGGCTAGATGGACCATTGGTCTGACCCACTACGGCCATTCTTATGCAAGGACTTAACTGGGGCCTTAAAATGTTACAACAAAATTGTATCATAACTAATGCCTAATAATTAATAAATTAAGCTAGCAAAATGTGAATATTTTTAAAAGATTTTTTTTGGTGCTCAACAAAGTGCAGTAATGGAAATAGCACAGGAGAAGCCTATTGTTTCTGCATATATAAAAATAGAAGAAATAATTCACACATTACACATTCTTATGAATGAAGATGGATTAAATTCATAACAAAAGATCTTTGACACACATTATGTTACATAACAAAGATAGAGGACTAATTATAATATTTCCAGTCACTAGCAGCTCTGTTCTCATCTTTTCTCTTGTTACTAAAACCAAATTTTGCAATTAAGTTTAATGGTGAGTAGTGCAACTATTGTATCCAGTGTGCAAATAGAAAAGCATATTTCCCTTTAATACAAATAAATAAGTCTTACTGCATTTGGAACTGGAATGAATAAGATATCTATTCTTCAGAGTGATTTCTGCTTTCTAACCTATAACCATAGGCAATATGAAGTGAAGGAGGGAGAGATAGAGGCTGCATTAAAGGCTGAATGATAGATGAACACTCATTTAAAAAAATACCATTTAAAGGGCACAGTCATATAAATAAGTTGGCTTGATTAGAATTTGCCTGAAGGCAAAGATTTGCCAGCCAGGTAGAACCCAGAGCTGCAATCAGCTGCTTGCAAAAAAAAACGAAACGAATTTGAGTTCACTGAGGATGCAGTGAGATTAGTGCAGCGTTTGTCCTCCAGCACAGTGAAGTGTGAGGCTGCGTATGGATGAAAGAACTTCAAAAGTTTGGCAGGGCTGGGATATATGCTTCTATTAGAGATGATTGAAAAATGTCACTTCCAGCATGTCAACATTTGTTCTTATCCCAAGTCAGAACGAAAGTTGAAAGACTGTAACTTTTTGGAGAATGCTGGAGGGCTGCAAAGAGGGGAGAGTCCTCTCCAAAGAGTCTTTGATTTTACCCCGTGAAAATAATCATCTGCGGTCAGATCTTCAGCTACCCTGAGCTTATACTTTGCAGCTGGAGCCAGGAATGTCACTCTGGATCATCAGTCTGTTCTCTACATCCTGGGCCACTTTAAGGCTGTTTGACGTTATTCTGGCTGCAATGGTCCTATAGGACAGCAGCTGAGGATCTGGCCTTAAATGGTTATTTTCACTGAATGAAGACTGTATGGAGAGGAATCTCTCTGCTCTTGCATCCTGGATCCAGTTACCCTCCATCCCACACATGCCGGTACATCCCCTAACCAAAGCTGAGAGAGTGCATTATTTTTAATGGGAATTAGGCATCTGGATCCTCTTGTTGGTACTGAAAATCTTAGCCTCAGATTGTTGACCGCCACACCTACTACAGAGATGGTCCCATCTGCTCTGGTGACCCTGGTAATTCTTTTGCTCTGGATTCTTGGGTCTCTGATCCTTTCTCTGAGCCCCACAGCCTGAGCTCCAGGAGTTTGCCTAATGTCTCCCGAGACTCTCTGAGATGGGATGGGTTTATGAGTCGTATTTGAGAGATCCCTGTTCTAGCTGCAGTAGTGTAAAGGATATTGGGATCTGCTTCTTTGGCAGCTTTAAACCGTAAGCCATCAGCCCCTTTTATCTGTTGGACACAAGTGCCTCTGGGGATTCCCAGCATCCATGGTGAATGCACTTGTCCCCGTTCAAATATCAGAGAAACATTCAGGAAAAGCATTGGAAGATCCCAATGCATCAGGGTGAGTCACATGGCTAGAGGGATGCAGAGGGGCCATTGTGTCAACAACGAATCACAGCTACAGTCATACACACGGGCTTGCTTTCAGTCTACTCTCTAGATTTATGAAGCAGAGGTTCCCAGCAGGAACCATGTATCCATGAGCTCATAGAAAGCAAAGGATTTATACCCCATCTTATGTCAGCTCTGCTTGGTTCTTCCAGTTGAAAAGGACGGGTGAGAAACCCATAAGCCAAGCCCGAAATGATGGGATCTCACAGAGTGAGCTTCCATTTAAAGTGGATTGTTGTGGACCTGGTTTAGAACAGCACAAACCAATCCCAGGGGCATTAACCACAATCACAGCCTGCCAGTGGTCATGTTAATGAGGCTTAGCACATGCACAATGCTTTACATTTCCAAGTGCCGTACAAACGTTAATTAACTAGGGTGATGATTAATAATGTGGCTTCTTAACCCTCAGTGAGTTTGTTCTGCTCTGTGCTGTTACATTCACAGGTGAATTATGGCTTCTCTTGTCTGGCCTCCCTCCCCTCCCCCATCCATTTTATCTTTTCCCCTCTTAAATAACCAGTTGCAAATGAACGCCAAGTGAAACAAATTCACAGTCGCTCAGTGCTGAAATTCATGCCAACCGCCACTCACTTCTCAAATCTTTATTTGTTCATTTTTTAAATTTTTGTGTGTGGACACTCTGGAGCTTAGTAGATGCAAGGTCTTGTTCTTTCAAGTTTTCTTGTCAGGTCTAAGTAAACATGATGTACGGCACTGAGAGAGACTGTCTCATTGCGGGGGATCAATACAAATAGGGATTGGGGGGAAAATACAATCTTGAAATTTTCCCAACAGACACAGTTATTATTAAACTGATCTGTAATGAAATACAGGGCACACTGCAGCTGAATCCTCCATAGGATCTGAAAGCTCTGCGGAAAGTGAACTGTTGCTTGTATTGAATGTCAAGTGTTGCAGGACTGGATTTTCCATTTTGTATGAATTTCAGCAACTTCAAAATTTTTCCATTCCAAAATGAACAAAAATAATTAAAAAAAAAATTCCCATGGGGAAAAAAAAATCCTTAAAAAATAGTTTCAGATAAATTGAAATATTTCATTTTGATAAAATAATATAATTTCATTCCAATTTCTATCTTTTAAAACTTTTAAATCGTTTTTAAAATATAAAACAGTGAATTTCACTTCAAAAAGTCATTTTAAAAAGAAATAAAATAAAACATTCTTTTCCAAAAATGTCAAAATGGGATGTTTGGACATCATTGAAACAAGTCGGTTTTGTTTTCTAAATGAAATTTTATCAAAATGGACGCTTTTTAAAGCATTTTGGTTTAGACAAAAATAGCATTTTCTATCCCCCCCCAAACAAAAAAGTTTCAGTGAAAATCTTACAATCGGCTCTGATTGAATGCATGAACCTGACACTGTCTCTCTCCTTCTTCGCATGTCACCATATAGCAGGAAATGATGTTATGGCTCCCATACACTTTTATCTTCTTGATGAACAGGTAGGTTAGTCTTCTTAATGTGCTTCAATTCACTATACAGTTCAGAACAAATTTTCATCATCCAGTTAACCTCAAGTTTGAGTTTTATCTCCTATGTTTAGATCAGGGGTCAGCAACCTTTCAGAAGTGGTGTGCTGAGTCTTCATTTATTCACTCTAATTTAAGGTTTCATGTGCCAATAATACATTTTAACGTTTTTTAGAAGGTCTCTTCTATGTCTATAATATATAACTAAACTATTGTTGTATGTAAAGTAAATAAGGTTTTTAAAATGTTTAAGAAGCTTCATTTAAAATTAAATTAAAATGCAGAGCCCCCCGGACCAGTGGCCAGGACCCGGGCAGTGTGAGTGCCACTGAAAATCAGCTCGCGTGCCGCCTTCGGCACACGTGCCATAGGTTGCCTACCCCTGGTTTAGATGACCAAGACTCTCTGGGCTGCACGCTCCCGACTCCCACCCCACAAAGCAGAGTGCTGATCAGCAGCCTCATGAGAAACAAACATGTTTCCACTTGAGCCCTGGTCTCTGTGGATAACGCCAGTGCAATGAAAAGCATTTTATTCCTTCACATACATAAAAATGCCATTTCCCTCCCTTTTTTGCCAAGGCTGAGAATTTTTTTTGTACAACTCTTGTTATCACTCAAGGTCTTCATGTGGCCTTAATCACTGTAGTATCTGAGGGCCTCCCAGTTTTCAGTAGATTTGATCTGCACAACACCTCTTTGGGGTACGGAACTATCCTTCCACCCATATCTTTTCACCGATCCTTTGTTGCCATAAGAATAACAACTCAAGATCAAGTTTCCAGACACCCATACACTGAAGCTCCCTGCA